GGATCTATAAGTGCCGTAATACGATCTCTAGGAAGCATCTTTTTGCGTGCAATGTGCTTTTCACGTGCTTTAGGAGGACCACCTTGATGTATTTTAGCAGTGAGAGAAGATAAATGATCGAGGAGAGGTTTCATTTGAGATTCATTTTGTGTGTATTCCTCTGAGGAGGTATCGATATTGGTAGGAAGAACGGAGATGGCTTTTGATTGTGTCGGAGGATAGTAAGTAGCTATTGTTCGCAAAGGGATGGAGGTTGATTTGTGATATACTGGTCTTAGGGATTTCCTAGTCAGATTTGGAATAATTCTGGATGCCCTGATTGAAGCCATCATGATGAAAAGTTATGCTGCAGTGGCAGCAAATAAGTGAAATATCTACATAGATAGTTGGTTTATAAACTTTTGTTTGTTTGAAAGGTGTTGTGAGATCCCTGAAAAGTAGCTGCGGCTAGCGACGGAACCCCGCGGGGAAACTAAACGTAAGGACTGACAAGGTCGATCATCGTTGTGCGTACTAAGTCCTTACTACAAAAACCAAAAATAATGTAGAACTTACATCTTCAATTCTTACAATATTTTCAAAATAAAAATGGCTTCTTCAATAAAATGTCTTCGATCCCTCACTACTCGATCCATATCCCATCTCCATCTCAAACCTTCTATCCCTATATCTACAATTCACCGGCGCAATGCCTCATCCAAACACCCCGCAGGTTTCGAGCCTCCAACCTCCGCTGATCTCCTCGAGCTCCGCGAACGTGTTCAAGAATTCACAAGACGAGAAATTCCCGAAACTCTCGCTTCGGAAACAGATAAATCCAATTCATTTCCCAATCATATGTGGCAGAAATTCGGAGATGCAGGGTTCCTCGGTATAACAGCTTCTGAAGATGTGGGTGGACTTGCTATGGGATATCAAGCACATTGTATTGTTATGGAGGAAATTTCTCGTGCTTCGGGTAGTATTGGGTTGAGTTATGCGGCGCATTCACAATTATGTGTGAATCAATTGCAATTGAATGGAAATCAGGAACAGAAGATGAAGTATATGCCGGGGTTGATTGATGGGAGTAAGATTGGTGCTTTGGCTATGAGTGAGAGTGGTGCTGGGAGTGATGTGGTCAGTATGAGGACTACGGCAAAGAAGGTGGATGGAGGGTAT